TTTTTTTTTTTTTTTTTTTTTTTTTTTTTTTTGTGTGTGTGTTAATTTTATTATTACATCATATTCAAATTTATTTAATAAGGTGATAGCTTTATTAATAATATCCTTACTTCTAATAATATTAAAAAGTATATAAACAAAATTAAATACAAATTAATAAATTATAATATTTTATTTAAAACATAATTTATATAAATATATTTACAGAATATTTAGTATGTGTGAAAAATGAAATTTCTGTTCATTTCCTATTAGGAGAATTTTTATTTTGTTTAAAAAATCATTAAAATTATTCATATAATCACCTATAAAAAAATTACAAAAATTTATATATATATATGTATATATATATGTATATTTGTTAAGAGAAAAAAATTTTACTTTCAGAAGTAATAAAGGTTTCTGATTTTTCTTTATGTAAATAATTGTCGATACATGTTATTAAAAATTCATATATCACTTCAGAATTCAAAGATGTCAAATTAAATACATTTTTTTTTAATTGTAAGTTATTATTAATGAAAATTAAAATATCATAAACTTTTTGTAATTTTTCTTGATAATTTTCATTAGAAGTTAAGTAAATTTCTAATTTTTTTTTCAAATTGTCTAAAACAATTTCATTTTGCTTTTCTTTATCCATATTAAGTAAAAAGTTAAAAAAAAAATCCATATTATTTATTACATCCAGTTCTTGATTTTCTACATATTTCTAAAAAAAATAAATAAAATATATTTTTTTTATATTTTTTTTTTTTTATTTTTTTTAATATAAATATAAATTGATTAAAAAATCAACATAAAATAAAAATAAATAGAAAACTTCAGTAAAAAAAAAAAAAAAGATATATATTAATAAACTACCTTGTATATTTTAGTTGATATTTCATCTATAATATTTTCATTAACACCTAAAATTTTTACTAATATAAAAATATTTTCTTTATAAATTAATCTGTTTTCATTACTTATTATGTCAATTACATATAAAACATATCGTTCAATTATTTTGTGAACTAAATTATAGTTTGATTCAATTAAAGAAAACTTAACATAATATTTATCATTCTTCTTTTTTATAAGATCAAAATTTTTGTATATAGTTAATATTTCATTTATATTATTTATAAAATCTTCATCACTTTTATATATGTAAAAATTTTCTTTAATTTTCTGATAAAATGCATATGTTTGTTTGAATATACAACTCAATTCTACATCTACCGATTTTTCATTGGATATATTTAAAAAATTAATAATTTTTTTCAAATACATATTTTTTATATTTATGTAGTTTTTATTTAATATATTTGTTTTAATTATATCATTTATCATTTTTTCATATTCATCTATTAAATATACATCATGAATTTCTTCAGGATTTTTTATATCTAATATAACTTCATAAAAATATAACTCCTTTCTATTATTATATATGTTTTCCTTTAATTCAAACAATTTATTTATATACATTTTTCTACATATCTCTCTGAAAGATTCATCATCAATAGACTCAAATATATTTTCTTTTTTTATCTTATAATCATTAATATTTCTTTTTTCTTTTTTATTTTTTCTTTTAATTTCTGATAAAAAATCTTCAAAGTTTACGTTTTTATAATTAAATAAATTATCATTTCCTATAATTTTTAAATCCATATCTAAATTTTTTAAGTTATTTAAATATTTAATAGCTACCTTTTCTAGAAATTTATTTATAATATTATCTTCAATTTCTTTATCAATTTCTTCATTATCTAAATTAAAAATAGTCTTAAATATTTTTCTTTCTGACTGATTTTTCATATATTTTAAAACAAATTCTTCATATAATTTTTTTTTTGTATCAAATAATAGAATCTCTTTTTCTTTAACATCTTCTTTTACTCTATCCTTATAAAAGCTATTTTTTATATCTTCCCCCTCTTTTAAGAAGTATTCTTCATTCTTTTTTAGATTTTCTTCCTCATCATTCTCTAAATTTTCATCATCATTCTCTGAAATTTCATCATCATTCTCTAAAATTTCATCATCATTCTGTAAAATTTCTTCATTATTTTGTAATTTTTCTTCATTATTTTGTAAGTTTCCTTCATTAGCTTGTGTAAGGTTCTCTTCATTTTTATCTATATTATTATTTTTCTCTTTTAAGGATTCCTCAATTTTACTTTTTTCTTCATATACAATATCGTTTTTATCTTTATCATACATATATTTATTCATTATATCGCTATCATGGTAAAAATTGAATGAAAATAAATCATCTAAATTAAGAAATTCATTTTTTATTTTAAGATATTTTCTTTTTTTTTTTATCATTTTATAAACGTTTATTAAATTTATTACAAGTTTTAAACATTTATCGATATTCTCTAATTTTAAAAATATATTGATATTTTCTTTTGTTTTTATTACAAAATTTAGAATAATATTTTTTATAATATTTTCAGTACAACTATTTGATAAAGATATTCCTCTTTTTAAGAAAAATAAATTGTCATTTTTATTTTTTAATTTTTTGAAAATTAAATTATTAATTAATATTTTATATTCTTTATAAATATATGAAAATAAATATTTTTCTATATATTTATTTGTAAATTCTTTATCTATTATTAAATATTTCCTTAAAAAGTAAATATCATTTAATTTTTTTAATAAAATTTCTTTTTCTCTTAATTCTTTTTTCTCTTTTTCTATTAATTCATTATCTACTTTTTCTTTATTATATGCTTCCATGAAATTATCATCTATTATATAATTTATACTATCTTCTATGTAGTGATATATGTTATGATTATCATTAAATATAGATTCATTTTCAACTATATTTTCATCTTCCATTATATTTTCATCTTTGAAAATTTTACTTTCATAATTTAAATGTTCATTAATAAATTTATCTTCATTTCCATTAGACTCATTATTATCTTCTTCTAATTCCTTATCTGTTTTTATAAAATCTTTTGAGTCAAAGATAGTTACATCATCCTTGTAATTATTTATATATATTTTATTATTTAAATTATTTTTATCTTCCTTATCTTTTTCATTTAGATTTTCATCATAATCTTTTATTTCTTCTTTATCTTCATTTTCATATTTTTCATTTCCTTCTTTTTCACTTTCATTTTTACTATTTTGAGTATAAAATAATTCATAATTTTTATCTTCAATGATATTTTTTGTTAGTTTCATAAAGATTGTCATATTAACCTCTTCAATAATACTACTATCTAAAGTTATAAAATTAATTTTCTTGATATCATCATACACATTATTTGAAAAGTTTTTATTCTTAAATATAGAGTAAATATAATTTTCGTATCCTTTTTTTAGGGTATCTAATAAGCAGTTATTTATTATTTTTTCTTTTATCTACAAAAAAAAAAAAAAAAAAAAATAAAAATAAAAATAAAATAATAAAATTTAAATTATATTAATAAATAAATATTTACATATAATTTATACAACTTTTTTTTTTTTTTTTTTTAATAAAAATTATAATTCTAAAATTATTTTCTTTATATATAAAATGAAAAAAAAAAAACTTACATTTAGGTTTTCAGAAATATATGTAAGCAGAAAATAATTAGAAATTTTATTATTTTTAAAAAAAAAAGGAATTTTATATTTATTTTCTTTAATAATATTTAATTTGTGTATATCTACAACTTCATATTTAAATTTAAGATTTATTATATAAAATATGTAAAAAATTTTTGATAATACATCTTTATTTTGATTATTCTTATTTAAACAATATATGTGGTATTTGTTTAGAACTAGACTAATAACATTTTTAATATTTTCTCTATTATTTCTAAATAATTTTTGATATAATGATATAAAACAGTTTATATTATAAATTGTATTTTCATCTAAATTTTCATTTGTATAAATTTTGTTACTTAAATATTGAGAAAACATATCATTTAAAGAATTTAAAACATCATTTAACGAATAATTAAATTTACACATAAATTCTTCTATATTTTTCTTATTTAAATTATGTAAACCCTCATAAAAAAAATAATGATTAAATAATATGGAAAATGAATCTTCTGTTATACAAAAGTACTGATTATATTTATTTATTAATAAGATATTTATAATTAATGAAAATATTCCTATTTCATAAAATTTCACATTTTTTATAAAATATATTGTATCAAAATAATTTTTTAAAAAAAACCAATTTTCTAAATTAATATTTTTTATCAACATACTTATAGAATATGTTAAAATTCCACTAATACAAAACAAAGAAAAATATTTTAGAAGATTTACATTTTTAAGATAAAATGATATAAAATTACATAATTTTTTTCTAGAAAATAAGTTATCTCGTTTATCTAACTTACCTAAAAAAAAAAAAAAAAAAAAAAAAAAAAAACAGTTTTCTTTTTTAATATATTTATAATATTAATTAAATCAATATAAGGGAGTCAATATAACTTTATTNCCAAAAAAAAAAAAAAAAAAAAAAAAAAAAAACAGTTTTCTTTTTTAATATATTTATAATATTAATTAAATCAATATAAGGGAGTCAATATAACTTTATTTTTTTATTTTTTTAAAATATAAATATAATAGAATAATTCCTATATAAACTTATAAAGAATGAAATGAAAATAAATATAAATGTATATAATAGTTTAAATATACTTTTTTTAAAAATATATACATTTTTTTTTTTTTTTTTTTTTTTATATATATATAATTTTATTATATTGTCTATTTTTATGATTCTTTTTGATTATTTTTATTTTTAACAAAGATTTTTTAAAAATTATAACAATACTTACCATTTTGAACTGTACTTGAAACATCTTTATTGTTTATAAGATTATTTACATAATAGTAATAAGATTGAATATTTTTATAATTTTTGTTATAACTCATAGCATTATTATTTCTTTCTTTTAAATATAAGGATAAAATAAAATTTAAAATATTATAATTTTTCCTTTGTTTTCTTTCTTTTTCATTCTTCATTTGATTGAAATAGTACTCAACTGATTTATTTCCTCTATTAAAATAACCAAATTTAGAAAAAAATTCTTCTTCATTTTTAAGAGTTGATATATAATTTATTAGTTTCAAAATTTCATTTTTTCTATCATCTTCATTATTTTCCAGATCGTTTTTTTTTAAATATTCTTCAATATCTTCATATGTAAAATCATTTTCATCACTTATGTATAAATGAAAAGAATTAGATGATTTACTTTTTTTTTTATTATAGTAATATTTAATGTAGTTGGAATTTTTTTTAAATAAAGAATTGGGTTCGTATACAGTTGATCCAATATAAGTTTTTACTTTAAATTTTTTATAGTTTCTTAAAGTAAAAGAAAAAAAATTAAATAAAAATATAACTAAAAAGTTAAAAATAAAAGAGGAATTTTTGATCATTTCTAATCTATAGAATAAAAATTTCACACAATCATTAATAGTGATACTTCAATTACAAATTTGTATATCTTTGTAGATAAAATAAAATATAAAATATAAACAAAAAAAAAATATTTTAACACATTTCATCCTTTTCACTTTTATATACATATTTTTTTTTTTTTTTTTTTTTTTCCATAAATTTTATAATTGATATTATTAAAAATGGTTTACAAAAAAAGAATTTTAACTTATATTGAATTTAGAGAATACATCATTATTTTGTGTAAATATATGTAAAATTCAGATATTTACTACTTGTGTATTTATTAAATATTTTCTTAAATATAACAAATTTTTTTTTTTTTAAATTACACTTTATTAATTTTTTACACTATCGTAAATCCTTTTTTCATAATTTACCTCATATTTTATTATATGTGTATTTATTTTATATCTTTTCAATGATATTTAAAACATATTTATATAGTAAATATTATTATATATATTTTTGTATGAATTTTATATATATTATTTTATATATATATATAATAATAAAATATATTCCATTAATTTTTCTTTATTTTTTTTCATAAAGTTAATAAAATCGTTTATTATTTCTAATCAAAGTTATCTTGTTTTTTTTTTTTTTTTTTATAATAAATATAAAAAATTTTAAAAAAAATAAAAATTAATATTAAAAAAAAAATTTAAGGAAAAAAAGAAATATTTTTATGGTAGAATAAAACACAAAGTTTATAAAAAAATATCTATTAAATACAATACAATACTATAACATAATTAAAAAAAAAAAATATGATATCCCTTAATAAGAATTTATTAAACTTCTTATCTATTTTTAAAAGAGATTCAAAAAACGATGAATTTACACGTAATTTACATATGTATATATAATTTTATAAAATTATATTTTAATTAGAATTTCTTTTTTTGCTGTTTTCATTTTTTTTTTTTCTATCACATTAATAATATATTTTCCATCTATTTATTTATTCTTTTTTCTCTTTTTTTTGTTACTTTTTGTTCTGTGTGTCCTTTTCACATAAATAATTTTTTCTTTTTTTAAAAGATGAATATTTAGATGACAAAATTGAAAATACCAAATGTGAAAGCGAATATAATATCTTATTAGAATGTTTAGATAAATATGATAGGTCTAATATTTATAATTTACATTTTAATTCATTGATATATTTTTAATTTTATTAAAAAAAAAAATTTTTTATTTTAATATATAGAAACTGGAGAAAGTGTCAAGAAGAATTAAAAATATTCAAAGGATGCTACAATGAAAATAATAAAATTATTATTGATAGAAAAAACTAATATTAATAATAAATTTACAGTTATATTTAATGAATTATCATTTTTTGATGTTTAATTTAATTTTTTAAATAAAAATGTTTTTGTATAGAAAAAATCTTTCCAATTTTTAATTACAAAAAAGAAATTTCTAAATGTGTTAGGAGTACTATATTTATTTCCTTCTTAAACAGT